CAGTCTTACCTGAAGAAGTCATGAAATGACAGAATTCAGGATCCTAAGGACAGGGAGGAAGATGAAAAGCAAGTTCACAACCCTGAACATCATGCACCTGAACAAGTAGACTTTGAGCTTTTCAAGGATCTTCTTGGAAAAGATCCATGGAATAAGACTCATTGTGAGGCCACTAGAGATAATCTTTGATCACGATGACTGGAAGAACAGCTTGAAGACTATAGGAAAGCAAATATCACTCCTATCTTCACAAAAGGCAAGAAGTAGCATCAAAGGAACTACAGGCTGGTCAGCCTCACCTTGATCCCTGGAAAGGTAACAGAACAACTAATCCTGGGAACCATTTCCAGAAACATGAAAGAAAGTGAACAGGAGGTACTCACTGTGGACGCACCATGGGGGAGTCATTCTTGACCACCTTGATGAACTTCTACCATGAAATGATTGACCTGGCAGATGTGGAAGGAACTGTGAATATTGTCTACCTGGACTTCAGCAAGACCTTTGAGACTGTCTCACATAACAGTGGGAGGAGACAAAGCCAGGGCAGTTTACTCAAATGAACCATAGTGCTATTCTATACCATGTGACACAGTACACAGTAATAAAAGCTGAGGGAAAGAGGAGGAAGAGTGAACATCTGGATGGACATCCACAGTTGCAGAGTCTGTCTTAACAAGTAACCATTAGGTGTGATGGAACCCTGCTTTCTTGGAAAAGGTTGAACATCTGACTGGGAATGGGAAGCAGTAAACGAATTCCTTGTCTTGTTATGCTTGTGCACACAGCTTTTGCTTTACCTATTAAACTGTCTTAATACACAAGTTCTCACACTTAAACTTTCTAATTTTCTTCTGTGTTCCACTGTGGGATAAGTGAGCAAGTAGCTGTGTGGTATTTGGCTGTTTACTGAATTTAACTCACATCAGTATTAGGAAAAATAGAGCTTGCCATGGGTACTATGATTAGTATGCCTTGTCTGTAGTGCATCTATGAGGAATATTTTGTTTTTATGCTAGTTGAAACTCAGTTCAAATCACTTACTGCCATTAGTAAGGATGGGGATGAAAGTACCAGTGAGAAGTGTCTGAGTTTCACTCAGCATTTTGGGAGAGCTATCTCAGTTCTTCTGAAGTGGTGGTGGTGATTACATGTCTCTGGAGAGTTGGGAAAAAAGAGCAATAAGATATTCAGTAGAAAGGAAACAAAGAGGGGAAGAAGAGGAAGGCTTCATGATAACCTTTACTAGAACTTTAGAATGAAGTTCTCAGAAACTTCCTCGTAAGTATAGTGGCATACAAGATCAGTGACTACTTTTCTCAGATACATAGATTAATTGAGAAACTGATGCAACTGGGGAAGTACAGAAAGGAAGGCTGAAAGTTGTAAATGTACTGACTAGATAACCAATCAAATAAAAGTACTGTGAAACAAAGACTAGAGCTATTTTATGTTTCTTGTCAGTAGTTGAAATAAAATAATAACAAAGCTTTTGTGATTGCACACAAAATACAGCTTGGAGAGATTAAACTGCTGCTGAAGATGTACCAGTGGAACAAAACTATAAGTTCATTAAGGAGGCAGTGCCACGATGGTACTTTAGTCTCTATCATCACTTTCACAAGAAACTCAAAGGTAAAATCTTGGCTGAAAGATATTTTGGAATTGAAATACTTGACAGAATGGAATATTGCATCTCATACTGAACTCAAATTAAAATCTATATTAACTGATTAATAGAACTGGATGGCACAAGTCAAAGGAAACTGTCCACATAGCGGAGCAAAAACCCCAAACCCTTCTGGAAACCAAGTAAATGAAAAATACAACTGTTAGGTAATGTGATAAAACCTTGTCTGTGTGCACAAAGTTATACAGACAACAGATGGTGGGAGCCTGAGTAACACCCTGCCTGGCTAATCCAGGCCCATCACAGAGGCCATCAGCCTATCAAAGTTCCACTTCCACAAGCTAGGGAAGCACACAGACAGGAAGGTGGAAACCCAAAATAAGGACTCAGAGGAAGGGACACTCTATCTGATCAACTCCCAGTGTTGTCCTGGGAGAGCTCCAGCCCCAGTATCTAGATGTAATGAATGTGATGAACCCACTGGGACAGGTTCCTCGTGATGATACAATACCAGACTATCTTTGGGACTTAGAAGCTTCACTGTCTAGGAGTGTGAAATGTATTATCATAAAATCATAGAATTGTTTGAGTTGGAAGGGACTTTTAAAGGTCAACTAGTCCAACCCCCCTGCAATGAACAGAGACATCTGCAGCTAGATCAGGTTGCTCAGAGCCCCATCCAGCCTGATCTTGGATGTCTCCAGAGATGGGGCATCTACCATCTCACTAGGCAAGCTGTTTCAGCACCTCACCACCTTTATTATAAAAAAATTCCTTCTTATATCCAATCTAAATCTCCACTTTTTTAGTTTGAAAACATTTTCCTTTGTCCTATCACAACAGATCCTGCTAAAGAGTCTGTTCCCTTCCTTCTTATTGCCCTTCTTCAGATCCTGAAAGAAAGGGATGCAGCTCTAAATTGCACAGGACTTACTACGGAAATTTTAAGAAGGAGCCACGGGCAGAGAAAGAGAGGTATTTAAGTGATTTGGGGAGAAGGTAGATGGGCAAGGACATAAAGAGAGGTTGGCTGCATCTAAATAGGCCACTGGTCAGCACATCTATCTGGTCATATTCTGAGGTAACTTACTGAATTCCTTTGTAACTTTTTTCCTGGATGAGAGACTTCTTGTGTGTGTATTTGCAGGTGCCAGCAACTGAGGAGACTGGGCCCCAAGAGAAGCTACAGGGCAGACTGTGTGGTAAGCTCAGCTGCTGGAGCATCTACATTCTATGTATGCATACATAAGTATAATCTCTAATGAAAATCTATTTTGCTCAGCCAGAGAAGAAACTTAGATGAGGCTGCTGATGCCATCTGTGTTTGTGCGAGTGCTTTGCGTGTCCTCACATAATTCAAATGGCTGGCCACATACATGCATATGTACATCTCTATTCATATATGCAGTGTTTATGTGTGCTCTGTGTGCATATGCCTAGTGGGTATATATCTTCACCCCCACTACTATTTGGATCTGGGGCTGCAGAACTGTGATGGCTACATGTCTCTTGGGCCATGAGAATACAGCTTGATATATTTTCCATGAACAACAACGAAAGTAGAGGATATCTTACAATGTTAGTGCTGAGGTTTTAGTTAAAAATTTAACTAAACCTGTAAGCATAAGGCTACTGATGCTTTATTTGGTGAAAGTAGGTTAAAATTCTATATTTTATTAACTTTGATTGGCTTGGGACACAAGATGTAGTTAGTTCATTGCAGCTTTAAGAATTTCTCAGAAGTGGCACCACTGATTCTGTGGCACAGACCTAATTTCACGCAAAGCAGATAAAATGGAGTTGAATCTACTTCATTTAATTTAATCAATTTAAAAGTTAGAAATGCTTGCTTAGATCAAGCATCTTTTATGGTGGGAGGAGTAACCCTGTCTTTCCAATATCCATCATGGAAGCTCAAAAAAAAAAGATTTTTAAAGACCTAAGTTTGAAATGAATGCCCAATTAGAAACCAAATACTGAATGAAACAGATCTGACAGTATACTTGCACTTTAAAGGCTAAGACATGACTCATATTCCAGGTCATCTCTGTGGCTGCTGTTGTCATTATTGCTGCTGGGCACTGAGCTCAGTTAATTGCTGCTAAGCAATCTCTACTAGGCTGCAGTTAAAGTAACAACACAAAAATCCTGTAAAGATAATGCATATCTGCTCCATAAATCAATTAAAAAGAAAAAAGCAAGAAAAAAAAAGAAGAAATGTCTCTTTTACCCCAGGCAAATAATCTGGGATGTACTGTATTACAGAATTTAGATTGCATATAAAGTCTGTCATACAGTATTGTGGGCAACCATCATGGTATCCTTTCCCAAAGACCAAATTCACTTTAATATTATTTTCTAATCTCAGTGCACTTTTCAGAAGGCTATCATGATTTCATTATCTTCAGCCTGCTCATATTCTCTTCCCCCAAGTAATTTACATCAATTTATTCTCAAGTCGAAATTGTTCTGGCTACATGTAGTTCTCTGACCTATTGTTATTCTCCTCCTTCCACTTCTATTTTTCATGGAATTATGGTCACTTATAAAGACATGACAACCTTCCTGATCACTGTTTGCTATTCTCAGTATGAAGGCAACTGAATGATTTTTTTAATCTTAAAAATGACTTCACTTTACAACATAATGTGGTGTAACTAAAGTTGTGTAAGCATATTGAAAAAAAATTGTCCACGGGAAACCATTGAGAAGATTTGCTGCACTTAATAACATATTCAAATATATCTTATTTACCTTCAAAGTTAGTAAAAATACAGGAAAAAAAAACAAAAACACTTCCTCCACCGTTAGTGGAGGGGAAATTGAATTACTTTATATTGATATTTTGAAACTATATACCTATACTATGTGAAAGTTACTCTCTTGTCTCATCAAATTAAAATTGAAGTACTTTTTGTTTGGGTCACTTTCATACCTTCCAATCTTTCCCTACCCTTTTCCCATACTCCTACATTTTGCCTTTGATTTTGTTGAACAGAGATAGATTTGGGACTCCACTGATGTTTTATTTCATGTACAGGCTTTCAAATATAAATGGTAAAGACTAAGGGCAAAGCTCACACAAAACGTAGATACCTGCACCCACATTGTGCCCAAAGAAGTAAATTGGAAGGGACAAAGGTGAGGGGTGGTGATGAAAACACCTGGGAAAATGCTTTCATGTTCTATTACAGAGTCTGCCTGCCACCATGAAGCAACCAACTGAATAACTTACATTTGATTATATAATTCCTCACATTGCAGAAAAAGGCGGTAAAGGAGGGGCAGGGTGTGTTAGCATATAAAAAGGATTAAAAGTGCATTGATTTTGAATCTACTATTGTTTGAAAAGAAAAATATCTGATCCTACCTCTTCGCAGGCGGTCCTGAAATCCATGTGCTATGACACAGCAAGTGATATTTGTCTAAAATAGAGAGAAAGAGTTCATTAGAATGAAAAAGATATTGCAAAACATAAGTTATCTGTCTAAGCTGAACAATTGAACTAGCCTTTTGTCAGGTTCAGATATAGTCATTCCTTAAAAAGAGAAATGATCAATGTTGCAAAAGAATTAGGAAGCGTAAGATGTTATAAGTAATTTCTGCTCCTTATAAAGTGCACAACTTGGTTTCACAGGGTATGATCAGAGATATTTTTCTGTTCCCACTATCTTGTCCCTCCCATGGGGCATTCAAATTTATTTTTCATATTGCAAAAATGAGTTTATTTTTCATTTCTTTTCAAAAGTAAGGGTGTACTGGAAAGAAACATTTCAGAAGGAGACAGTTAAGAGTTGCTTTTCAGAATGTTCTTGCTCTCATGAAAGATTTTTTGTTTTTCTTTTCTCTCATAGCAAAAGAAACATCAGGAATCAATACCTTTGTCTCCCATTTTATTAACATACGTAACCTCTCCGTGGAATCCAGTATCATTTAACAGTGTATCGGCTGCAGAAATATTTATGAGTTGAAAAAAAACAAATGTTATAAAAGTTGGGGATATGAGTGAGGCCTGGCAAAATGTCATACCAAATCCTATTATTATTACTTTGCAAGAACTTTACCTGAAATATACTCATCCCAATGCACACTTATTCATTCATTTATTTATGAGATAAAGCTACAACAGCTGGCTTTTATCAGAGGACCAGAACAGTGTCCTGCTCCTCATTCTACAATACAAATTCTCATCCTTCTGCATAAAACATTTCCAGGCAACACCTCCTGAGCAAAACAGACACTTCATTGAATGCCCTGAGATGCAAAACCTGTAACAAAATCCTACCCATCAAGTAGTTTGTTATTATTCTGAATGAATCATGTGCTTATGATTTTTTGTATAAATTTTCTATTCAAAAGCTTCAATCTAAGAACACAAGCTAAAATGAAATTAAAAAAAAAAAAAAATAATACAAAAATGCAAATCTTAATTAAAAATATCTTAATCTCTTAAACATCTTAATTTGTTTTACTGTCTTGTACTTAGTTTTATTAAATCCAAGCGCACACACATGGCAATATTCTGTATTTACTGAGATTTGTCTTTTTTGCAGCCTGTGCACCAAGCCTACTTCTAACAGAGCTAGCCTATTTTGGCTAGGTTACAGCACATCATTGCTTCCTTCTCATCCTTACAAGTGCACCAAGAATGAACAAACATCTATATTTTTAATTCTGCTCTCAAAATGCTCATGAAAGACAAGGTCACTATTACAATTTCAAAGGCTTTTCATTCTTGAGGGACAGTTATTATGAAATGAGTTTGTATTTTGTATTTTTTTATAAACTCTCCCTCTCACAGCTGAGTAAGCTGAAATGGGAAGGAGGCTTTACTTCAAATATTTTGTGAACTTCTTAGCTTTCTAGAACCAGAAATTTTTGTATCTTTAAAATAAAAATTGGAGTGCTGCACAGTGTTATCCTTTTTTAGACCCTGACTATATCAAGTCAGTAACTTCTGCTACAGAAAAAAAGTGTCTCCAGTTACACTCTATTAATTCCTAAACGTCCTGCAATACTCAGGTAGCACTGGTTCCACAATAACTGATGACTGCTCTGCAGTTACTTTTTAGTTACACTTGAATGCAAATCCCGTTAAACCCAGGCATTTTCCACAACTAAGTGATATTCTATCTTCATCTCTTTTGTTGTTTTCATGTATTATTGATGTATTTATGTATTCATTTAATAAATATTACTATATTACCATATAGAACCACAGTCAGGAACTAAGATGATTCTACGTACAGCTGGTGACCCTAAATAAATTTTAATTTGCTCAGATAATTAGTGAATATAGTATGAATTTTCATATGAATATCAGCTTTACTGAAGGAAAAAAAAAAAAAAAAAAAAAAAGAAACAAAAAATCTTTTAAACATCTCAATCACTACAGATATTCCAGCAAATCTAATATGCTGGATAATGTTATTTATGAAAATAAATTCTCTATCCTATGGCTTGAGAGATGTCATGGCAAACAAGCACTGACTTTCAGTGCTCTGTTTTGTCATTTTTGAGGACAGATCACAAATTATAAATACTGCCTCTTTCTATCTGCTAATATTTGGCAAGTCTACCTGCCGACAATTCTTTTCCCTTACGTGATATATTACACACACAAAAATTGATAATACAACAGATACCCTTCTGACATCCATTTCATATTGAAATAATTACTTCAGTTCTCAAGGAAGGTTACACACAATGTTTCACTGAATTACAGAATGCTATGGGCTAGAAGGAATCTTAAATATCATCTAATTCCAATCCCCTACCACAGACAGGCACACCTTCCACCTGACCAGGTTACCCAAAGCCTCGTTCAGCCTGGTCTTGAATACTTACAGGCATGAAATATCCACAGTTTTTCAGAGCAACCTGGTCCAGTGCCTCACTATCTTCATAGTGAAAAATTCCTTCCTAATAGCTAATTTAAATCTACACTATCTACACTCATCTAGTTTAAAATCATTATCCTTTGTTCTGTCACTATACTCTCTGATAAAGAGTCCCTCCCTGGGTTTTCTAGATTCCTCCTTGAGGCTCCAGAGGCTTCAGGTCTCCCTGAAGACTTTTCTTTGCTAGACTGAATAACCTCACTTATCAGTCTTTTTTCACAGAAGAGGTGCTCTAGCCCTCTGATCATCTTCATGGCCCTCCTATGGACCCACTTCAACAGGCCCATATTCTTCTCAAACTGGAAGCTGAAGAACTGAACGCAGTACTCCAGATAGAGTCTCATGAGAGTAGAGTAGACAGGAAGAATCAACTCTTTCAATGTGCTGATCATGCTTCTTTTAATTCAGTCCAGGACATGGTTGGCCCTCTGACTTGCAAGTGCGCATACATATCCACATCATGAAAAGCTTTTCATCCATCAGGACCCTCAAATTCTTCTCAGGGTTGCTTTGAACAAGTTCTCTGCCCAGTCTGTATTTGGCTTGTGACTGCCCCAACCCAGGTGCAGGACCGGACTTATGGTTCTTGTTGACCTTGATGAGTTTCTCTTGGGACCACCTGCCAAGTCTGCCAGTGTCCCTTTGGATGGCATCCTTTACATACTGTATGGCAAATGCACCATGCAGCTTGATGTTTTCAACAAGTTTGCAGAATATGTACTCAATCCCACTATGCACATCACTGACAACAGTAGTAAACTGTACTAGCCCCAATATAGACCCACCAAGGAAAATTGCTTGTCACCAATCTCCACTTGGTCTATCCATCAGAATGTATCCATGTATCTGTAATCTAGAGATAAGGATGTAGTGTTGGTTCAGTATCATGTGCTTTGCATAAGTCCAGGTAGATGGCAACAGTAACTCCTCTCTGCTGCAGAACACCAACACATTTTTCAGGCACTTCTTGCCCTTAGTAAAGCCATGTTGACTGTCCCCAGTCATATTTTTTTTCTGTGTGCCTTAGCATGGCTTACAGTAGGATCTCTTGTTCCATGATCTTACCTGACATGGAGGTGAGAATAACTGCAATTCCTTGGGTTTTCTTTTTTCCCATTTTAAAAATGGAGGTTATGTTTCTCTTCTTCTTGTCACTGGGAACTTCACTGGACTGCCAAGAGCTTTCAAATACAATGGAGAGTGGTTTAGCAACTTCATCTGCCAGTTCCCTCAGGATCACTAGATGCATGGATCTGCGCACCTTCAAGATCTTTATACATGGTCTTGAACCTCATCTCCTACAGTGGGCAGTTCTTCATTTTCCTGGTCCTCTGCCTGTAGATTCTGAGACTTCCTCTGGGAAAGATGTCTGGAGGTAGTTTTTCATGATTGATGATAAGATCTTCTAATATTAAAATGACGTCTAAGATGTGTATCTGGAACTACAAATTCTCAGCACAAAACCACATTTCCTGCAGTTAGCATACCTTTTTCACACATCACAAACTCAGTCACTGATCTCTGCAGCATGGCTTGCACTGTTTCTGTATAGCACTGTTTCCAACTGTTTCTTCGCTGTGGTACAGAGCGGAAATCAAGCCCATTCTCAAAGGGGGTTTTTTTGCAGTCCATCAAGCAATTTTTTAACATTTGATATTTTGGAAACAGCACACAGCATCTAAGATTACACAGTTCATTATCTCATACATCAGCTCAGAAACTTCATTGTTTCCTGTTTCCGTGGAAGAACTCTCTAGGTTATTAAATTACAAGAATACATATAATGCATCACACAGACATTTTATGATGCTATGCTGGTAAAATATTTTAATGATTAGTAATTTTCTCCTTCTGTTATACACTATATATATAAATATATATATATATACATATGTATGTATGTATGTATGTATAGATACATATAAAACCAAGAAATCCGAGAAATTCTAAAGCCAAAGCATTTTAAAAACAATAAACTGTGAAATCCACCACTGACAGATGTCTCTTGGCCTGCCTCTGGCTAACCTTGGCAATCTCCTTATCTTGAAATCATAGCCACACTTACCTGAGTATCTTTCCAACTCTCTAAAGAGCTTCCTTCAGTCTCACACAAACATATCAGCGTCAAGAGATACCTTCAGCATCAGTATTTCATTTTTCTTTTTGCCTCCCCATCCATAAATTGCTTTGGCACAAACTGTGCTCTATAAGGTGAGGAAAAAAACATCTGTCTGTGGCTATGAAAGGCTGACATGCAGAGGAAAAGTAGCAGTGTTGCGACAGGGTCTGGTGCACAAGTGTAATGTGAAGCATGAGGGTGTATATCATTCAAAGAGGAGTAACGGCTAAAAGAGAAAATGACACTTCCTCTGAAAAGCTTTGGGACATGTAATCAAAATTATCTACACAAGCATGCTTTAAAAAGTTACTTTTCTTCCTTTCTACTTGATTTGCAATCCATACTTCCTCTAAAACTGAGTTACCAAACTTATTTAGCTCATCTCTACTGATAGATGTCTAGGAAG